TCCCCCCCCCCCCCCCCCCACTAAAGGGCAAACCTGTGTTCTGTTTGCAACCGATCTAAACTACGCCACTTACAGAAAACCATGCAACTTAGATCAATTCTGCCTCAGGATTTTTGAATGTCTGTACGTAGCCAGAAAGTACAGATAAATAGATTATGGAAAAGCTGGCTGTGTGTAGTGTTAAGACACTGAACAGGCTACCATCCTCTACCATGATAAGTCAGAGAGCCATTTTTTTTTACTAGAAGAGCTCATATGGCAGATTTTTTTTCCTTTTTTATGTCTCTCTAAAAATTAATTTTAAGGTTTCTGTAATTTTCCATATTAAGCATGATTAACTAATACAGTCACAAGTGTACTCTGAGTCCCCCTCTCTCTTTCCCCAAATATTTGTGTTCTAACCCAATCTTGTATGTTTTACCAGACAGGCTCTAAAACTCATAGTTTTAATTCAGTTGTGCTCTGAAAGTGCAGAAAAGCTTTCTGTCAGGACACAGTCCATAAAAGCTCATCCCATTATATAAGAGGTAATGTCCAAAAGTGTTTTGCATATATCAATCTGCTGCATTCAGTTATTTTTCTGTGGGTTAATATATGCCACCTCAATTTTATGGCCAGACCATATAAAATGTCTGCAGGTTTTTCCTGCATCAAACTCTTATTAACTAACTTCCATTATGGAGTGACTACTCTGTACATTTTCCCTAAAACCAAATGGTCCTACATATTTCAAAATTTAAACTGAAATGTATAGCTAATAATAAAGTACTCATGTTTAGTAAGACAACTTGCTTTCCTGGCTGAATCAGACAACTAAGAATTTTTTGCTGATTCATTTATTTATTCAAGTGTGCAATCCTCCCTTTGTGCATAAAGGTGGATGCATGCCTTTTTAAAAATGTAATTTATTTTTCATGTTTCTAATTGTCATCTCCATGCATTCTGTGGTGAACAAAGTAATACTCTTGCGGCTTTAATGCTGCTACTCTTCCATGTTGGGTCAATTCTTTTTCTTTTAAATAAATGTAACACTTACTAAAAGTATCAAATAGACAGCATGACACTCCAAATCCCTCATAAGACATAGCTGTATAATGCAACAAACAGATGTTTGGTTTCCATGTTTGCCTGAAAAAGTGTCTTCTCTTCAATGTGGATGGATAACTGCTAAAACAGAGATTCTCAACCAGGGTGTAAGGAGATTCTTTTAAGGGTGCATCAGGTTTCTACACAATATTAGCACAGTTGTGTGTGCGAACACCTACATGTGACTCACAAGATAGACACAGAGATTTCAAATAGAAAAAAATGTGAAAAACATTTCTACCTGTTGTAGTCTTTTTCAGTTCTTTGCAACAGAACAGTTGCTCTTCTAGTTTTCCATGGTCAAAAAAACAAGTGAAAACTAAGAGCAGGCATTTTCTGAGAGGTGTCTTGAGTCTTACAAGACTGAGAACTACTGTTCTAGGACTCAGAGTTCAAAATCCGTTCTTATACTTATTCAGTTTTTGGGCTATTTGCTGTCACTGTTAATTAGGGTGCCAAAGGCCGTGTCTATACAAGACACTTACTGTGCAGTAGTAGTGAGCTACTGCGCAGTCAGTGTCACCAAAAAGCCGTTCGGGGATGCTACTGCGTAGTAACACCAGTTACTGCACAGTCATTTTGTACTTACATACACAAAAGTACTAAATGACTACACAGTAACAACTGTGCAGTCAGCTTCTTGTGTAGACAGCCATTCAGAGTCAGTTGTAATAGTGGATTCTGTGCTATGAGCATTCTTCCAGTGGGAACTGGACTAAAGCCATCTTCTCTTTTGGTATAGGATACTGAATAATCACTAAACAGTAATAGCTCTGGGTCACTACTCTCCTGAAACAAAAAGGAGTGCATCCCAACCATTTCTTTCCATTTTTTCAAACAGAAAAGCAAGCCAAGCATTTCTAGATTTGGAAGAAATCCAAAAATAATGTATATGTCATTAAACTCTGTGCTCAAAACTAGAGAATAGGTTATATTGGCTTCTATCACTTTTCTGTGGGAAGAGAAAAACATTCTTTGTATTACACTTCTATGTTAACACCATGCTAGATGATCTGCAATACATATGAAGTCTGTAAGCACTGACCTCAAAATGCCTACACCCATAAGCTGATATCTGGTTGCAACAGTTGTTGTAATAAACTGATTTATGTACAGAACATCACATGTGTTATCCACTATGACAAACAGACACAAACAAATGATCAAGTCCTTTTTTATTTTTAAATATTAGCCCATATTAATGGGGGGGAGGTTGAAGTTATTATTCGGTCAGTTTTAGTTATACCTGTACAACTTGAGTCAAGTCAGTAGAGCTGCTTGGGATCAGATTTTGGCCCATTCTTCTTAAGTCTTATTAAGTAATGTTCAAAATCTCTCATTGTATAGTATATTGTACATGATTGCCTCCCTTTGTGTGCCATTCATGTAAGAGTTGCTTTCTTTTTATTCCACCCCAAAATTAGTTTAAAAATTTAGAGTTAAAACAATACAAGCAATAATTTTAAACAAAAGAATCTAAGACTTGGGGACTAGAAATACTGAAAACTTAGGTATTCTACATTAGAGTTATGTTGCTGAAAAGTCTCAATGCTGGATCTTGCATCATGCAAAGGAAATTTCATTATTTTAAAAAAATAACTGTAAATTTGTTTTCTCATGCCCAAGTCCTTTATGAAACAAGTAAGGAAATGCAGTGTGTACTCCCGTGAGTTGAACAATAATCATAAAATTAGAAACAAAAGAATCAGACAGAACAAAGCTTTTTTAAAGATTCTAAATCACACACAAAACATTTGTTCTGCTCCAGCTCTTTGTGAACTAATTGGCTCTCCTGGAGGGACAGGTAATTGTACTTGACTACACAAGCTGTCCTGAAGCTCCCTTGGAAAGCTCCAGTAAGCTTCCAGTGTTAGCAGCCATCAAGGATTTCACAGGTCAGGCATCGGATCGATACAGCTAAAAGCAGCAGGGACTGTAATGTCGACAGCAGGTTTCAGAAAACGCTGCAAGTGCCAGTTTGTTCCCCTTCATGCAGAAGCTCAAGACAGCTTAATTAACCCTTGGAAAATACAATTTATCCAGAGGCTCTGCGGGTCTGTACTAGGCCTTATTGGTGAACTGATAGCAGAGATACTGTAGCTGGCAGCTCTGAATTCCCATTTCCCCCTTTAATGCTATTTCAGTTAGAATGCAAAGAAAACATGATTTTAGGTGGATGTGTTCATCTTGTCCTGAAGAGCATGCTACAGGGGGCCACTAAGGAGGGTGTTCTGATAGGACTCGCATGTGATTTCAGCAAGAGCCTGGCCCAGCAGGAACACTAATCACTCACATTCAGAGGTGGGT